CGGGCGGGTGGTGGCCCCACGCAGCCAGCCCTGCTCCGAGTCCCCCCTGCCCTGTGTTGGGTCACTTCCGTCGCCCAATCTGAGCCATGAGGTGCGCGTTGGCAGCGGCCTTTGCCCGCAAGTTCTTGGCTTTGGCGATGTTGAAGAGGATGTTCATGATGTTGGTGGGGACATCAAGGGAGAGGGTGACCTTAGTGCGGCGGTCGCTCTTGGCGCGGTTTTGGTAGGTCTTCCCCTTCACCTGCGCTTGGGAGACGTATTTGTAATGGCCTTCCCCCGGGAACGTCCTTTTCCCCATCTCTTCATCCATCCCATCCTCCCTTTCCTCCTCCTCAGTCACCACCTCAGGCGATGGGGAGTCGAAGCCGCGCTTTTCCAAAATGGCATTTTCCTCTGGGCGGCTCTTCTGGGCTTCGGCAAGGGCCGCGTTGAGGCAGCTGAAGATGGAGGCGGTGTTGTAGAGGTGGAGAGCCCGTCCCGTCTCAGTGGCGTAGAGGAGGGTGAGGAGGAGCAGCAGCCTGGTGTTGGGCATTGTGGTTGGCCTGGCCGGTGGAGAGAGCAAGGGGAGGGTGAAAATAGGCATGTTACTTCCCACGGAGCCCAGGGCACAGAACCATCATCCTCCCTTCCTCTCGCATCCCGTGTTCCTGTATTCACCATGCAGTTTCCCCCCCATCCCATCTAATGGTTAAGAGAGTTGGGAATAAGTTGCCTTGGGGCCTCCTCCTCCAAGGTACAACCTCCCAGCCCTGGGTTTTCAGAATCACAGAATCACAGAACGTTAGGGATTGGAAGGGACCTCAAAAGCTCATCCAGTCCAATCCCCCTGCCGGAGCAGGAACACCCAGATGAGGTTACACAGGAAGGCGTCCAGGCGGGTTTTGCATGTCTGCCGAGAAGGAGACTCCACAACCTCTCTGGGCAGCCTGGGCCAGTGCTCTGTCACCCTCACTGAGAAGTTTCTTCTCAAATTTAAGTGGAACCTCCTGTGTTCCAGTTTGTGTCCGTTACCCCTTGTCTTATCATTGTTTGTCACTGAGAAGAGCCTGGCTCCATCCTCGTGACACTCACCTTTTATATCTTTGCAAACATTAATGAGGTCTCCCCTCAGTCTCCTCTTCTGCAAACTAAAGAAGTTAAAGTTTTGGGGTGCTGGATGGGAGGTGGGATGTCTATGATGCTTTGCAAGGCTGCAGCCTCCATGGATAGATGAGGATTTGGCCATCCCTTTGCTGAAACACAAGTGCCTGCTGTGGGAGATTGGTTTTTTACCATGCTGCCTTGCAGGGGCAATCTCATTGCAATCCCCCTACAGTCATGTCCCCCTTGCTAACACCTCCACAGAGTAACCCTGTGTACCACCAACTGCTGCAAAGGTGGGGTTTCCTTTCAGCTCCTCTCTGCTCAGCCTGAAGCCACTGGAGATGTTTCTGTGCTCTTTGAAGTTGGCAATTGCCTGTCCACCAGCACATCCAACTCTGTCTGAGAAGGGCATGGAGAGTTAGGGACAGTCAGTCCCAGCACTGGAGGGGTGATCTGCCACCCGTCCAGTGTGATGGCCCCATTTCTTCTCTCCAGCCTTGGACTTGGATACTCGGGCTTCCCATTATCCCGTGTCTCCATTGCCAGGACTCTCCTCCAGCCTGGGTGCAGGACAGGTTGTCCCATCTGATGACATTTCCAGGGTGCATTTACTCCCATGGGCAGCCCTCCCTGTGGACATGTCCAAAATCACAGCACAGCAGCATAGCTCTCTACTTGAAATCTGATCATTTTTAGGTCTTGGGAGGGCTGGAAACCTTGGGATAACCCTTCTGCTCTGCAAAACCTCCCTGTCTCCGAGTCCTCTCTCTCTCCAGGAAGCCATACATCTCCTTGCACACCCATCCAACTGCCCAAAAACGCCACCCAGAAGGCCACAAGAGGTCTCCTGGTGGGGGTCTTTGCCCATGTCGAGGTCAGACGAGTGTCCCCAAGGCCATACTTAAGGTCGCACAGCCCCTCTAAGTGCCTGGAATTGTGCTAGCATTCCCAGTCTTCTGGCCCCATCTTGTGGCGATCACATCACACGGCAAGTCCTGCACCGGGGGACAGTCCCCAGGGGTTTGGGGATCTTGTCTGGGACTGGGATTTCAGTGCTGGTTTGGACTTGTGAGCCGCTAAATTATTTCCCATGGGGGTAGGAGTGTGGAGGGGCCAAGGAGGGTGGGGAAGCCCCTGGGAAGCTCTTTCGGAGCAGGATGGCTCCTGTGAGTCTCTATGGATGTCTATGTTTTCGGGACACTGCTGGGAAAGGAGGCTGTGGCTCACTGCATGAGGGTGGGGGAGATGTCCTCAGAGTGATCCGAAATCAAACCAACCCCCTTGTCCCCAGGAGCTGTCACTTTGGACCTGCTCTTCTGCCACTGAGCCACAGTCCCTGAAACTGCTGTCACTTTAACTCCTCCCTTCACTGTCCCTTGGAGGAAGGGACCAGGGCAGGTTTATTCCCATAACTCTGCCCCTTGCCATCCTCGGAGTGGGAAATCAGAGAAGTTTGATGGAATCACAGCATGGTTTGAGTTGGAAGGGACCTCAAAGCTCCCCCAGTCCAACCCCCATGGGCAGGGACACCTCCACCAGCCCAGGCTGCTCCAAGCCCTGGCCAACCTGGCCTTGGGCACTGCCAGGGAGGGGGCACCCACAGCTTCTCTGGGCAACCTGCCCTGTGTCCAGCTGAGACAGGGATGATGTGCAGCAGCCCTGGCACGACCCAGGCACCACTGGCAAAGCCATTGCTGTAGAACGGGGGAGGAAAACCCTTCCCAAGCACATAACTCTCATGCAAGGGCAATTCAGGGTCCAAAATTCCCCTTCTTTCAGCCCCATATCAGATATTTAAATCCCAGGACTTAGTTTTCACTTGCAAAAATCTTAACAGGACAAATATCTTTCTCCCACCCCAAAGCCTTTCACTTTGCAGCTGCCTTTCAGCCCCTAGAAGCAGCAACACCTCCCAGTAAACTCCTTGCAGTCCCTGCTAGCAGGATGGGGGTCTCGGGGCATGAATTTAGAAATTGCTAAATATCTCACTCCTGCCCTGCAGCCTCTGCTGGATGGAGAATGGGAACAGCTCCGAAAGCGCTTGCAAAGCCAGCACGGCTGCTGGGAGAGAACTGGTTTGAGTTGCTGTGGAGCAGCATCTCCACCTCACGTCTCCCTGACAAATATTTCACATTGGTCTGAAATGGGTGGTTTGTTCCTGCGGCCGGCTGGGGCTTTTCCCACTTGGCAAAACTCTCTGGGGACCTTGGCCCAGTGAGGGAAAAGGCAGAGCAAGGGGGAAACGTGACTGAAACGCATCAACACCCAGCGCCTGCTTTGCTGATCCTCACCTGTGGGGTGGATATCCTGGCAAAAAGAGCAAAAATCAAAACAAAGCAGCAAAAAAAAAGCAGTGTCTGGCTGCGCTGGCAGGACAGCATAAGCTGATATTTTAGACTTCTTTGTTTTTGCGTGGGATTTTTGTGCCCTGCCACACCAGAAAGTTTATTTTTTGGACCAGAAAGCAAGCTGGAATTGGTTTTTCTTTCCCACCTCCTCCCAAAATAAGGCAGGAAAAGGAGAAAATACCACCTGCAGTGGATCTGAGGAAGTCGGAGTTAAATCTGCTGCTGCCAGAGGGTGACCTGCGGGTGCCTATTGCTGCAGGTGGGAATTGCTGGGATGTCTGTGAGCAATTTACAGGCGTTATATCGAGATGGTGCCGACAGCCCTGGCAGGACCATTTGTATCAGATGAAGATCTGTCTCTTGGCTTTAAAACAGAAAAGTAAATCGCTCCAGCAAGGCAGCTCTGTAAACAAAGCTATTTGTGGGTTATCACGGGCTCCTCGGCAGCAGAGACACTGGATTAAGCTATTTCTTCCCCATCAAAAAGTAAGTCTGGAATAAAATAATACTGTGGATGAGACCTGTAGACTTCCTAAACTCTTTCTGTTTGATGCCACCTCTGCTTTCCTAATGAAACTCTCCTGAGGATGCTGATTCCCAGGGGTCCAAAATTCAAGTTATCCTGGTGGGGATGGGGCTGTACCCTCCTCTTTTCCCCATTTCTTCCACCACAGCAGTGATTTGTCTCCCTACTTTTAGTTTTCCCAAGATTTCCAAACCCCTTCCCGTGTTTTCCAGCCTGATCTGCCCCTAAAAGTTGTTATAATAATTAAAAAGATATTTCTTTCATTAGGAGAGAGGGTGAGGGGAGTCTCTTAACGTGATATCTTGAACTGCTTTTCCCTATCCTGCCTTTATTATTTTCTTTGCAGAGAAATGTGGAAGCTGAGCTCCCGTGGAAAGCACTGAAATATTTAAAGTTTGTGCAAATGAAGCTGGCTGCTGGATAATAAATGAAATCCAGGCACTCACCTGGTAGTCCTCGGTGGTTGGGATGGGAAGGGTTTGCTGCGGTCTCACTCCGAAGAGAGAGGCATCAGGCGCGTTCCCCTGAAGTTCTGCACCCTTGCTTTTCTTTTATTGTTATTAAGAGGGCTGTGATATTTTCTCTCTCTATGGAAACGCTTTCCCCCCTCCCTCGTGTATATATAAAAATGAGCGATCACGGGGTTTGAGTCGTAACTCCAGACGTGGAGCCTTCGTTTGGGCATGATTTCATTAAAATGAAATCAGAAGGAGATGGCAACGTCACGGGGCTGCGGTGCCTCTCCCCATTCAGAAAGAAAAAAAAGGGGGGGAGGGAAAGGACATGTGAACCTGACAGCCTGGTGAGAGCCACCCAAAAACAGGGCTGTTGCCAGCGCTGGGACTTTTCAGATGCTTTTCCTCCACTCCTCCAGGTAGCCAGGCACTCGGTGTAGGCATATTTCAAATGCAAAGGTTTTTATTGCCCCTGAGGATGCCTGTTGGGATTTTCAGTGTTGATTAACAGTGTTATCCCAATTAATATGTTTCTATTTGAAGAGTGGGGCTGGTGCAGCACCTTGGCAGGGTTTTGCCCCAGGACAGTGCTTGTAACCCACATCCACAGCAGGGACAGACTTGCCCTGCTCACACTGCTCTGTCCTCTGCCTTATTTCCCATCTCTGGCTGTTTTTCTCCTCCCATGCAGGCAGGAAAACCTGTGGAAGATTGAAATTTTGGGAAACTTCTTCCAGGATGTGGTAGCATGGTGCCAGGTGTTGCGTGGAGGTAGAGATAATGGGTATCTTGGAAAAAAAAACCCTCCAACGCTCCGAAGTCACTGAGGTCCAGCACAATTAACTCAGATTGCCCCAAAACAGCAGCAAGGTAGGAAAACAAACCCAGTCTGGGGTCCCAGGCTCACTCTGGTCCTGGTGTGGTCAGAGAGAGGTCTCCTGCGATGCCCCATAGCACTGTTTTGCCAGCAAAAGTGCTTTGTGGACGGGAATGGAGATCATCCTGCTGGAAACAGGTCTGAGACACCCAAGGGAGTCAGGTCTCTGGTGGAGGGTCTTGCCAATGGCCATAGCAGATTTGCAGTGGGGCTGGGGGCACCTGGTAGCTCCAGGACTCTGCT